TCCCCTTTTTTCCTTCTCCTCTTGTATCGCCGCTGTTGTAACTCACTTGGCTTCTTCTGATTCGATCGCGCGTCCCGTTTGCCGCCTCTATTGTAGGTGATCTATCTGACAGTCACTCGGATTTGCTTCCACTTTTTGCTTCAATCTAGGCGGGCGCCATCACTCCTGTCCGCCGATAAGGCCGACTTCTTCTCCACCAATTTAAGAGGTTGATCGCTCGACCTCCCTGATGACAGCGCAACACCAGGGGGCTTCGCGGATTCCTCTTTCGTTTCCCGATCCCTCCAAGTTCGGGAATGCCCTTAAAGAGCAATTAATGAGGAAATTTGGGTTTCAGAGACGGAGCCTCCGTTTCCTCACCCATTCGTGATGATGTCACCGCCAGACTAGAATTAGATGAAATACTGAAAAAGCAAAAAAACAATAAAACACCGGGACCCGACGGGCTACCGGTAGAAATATATAAAACAATGCAAGAAGTATTGGGAGAGAATATGTTGCGATTATATAATGAAGCTATGGAGAAAGCCAAAATACCAAATTCATGGACAGAAGCCATAATAACAATCATTCCAAAAGAAGACACAGATCTCCAGTTAATACAAAACTATAGACCTATTTCATTATTGAATGCCGACTACAAAATATTTGCAGCAATCTTGGCAGAAAGGATTAAATTAGTATTAAATACATATATACACCCAGACCAAAATGGATTTCTGCCGGGACGCCAAATAAAGAACAACATGAGAATAATACTTAATGCTTTAGAATATTATTAGCTGTTTTTAAAAATCGAGTGTTTTTGCTGCCCGAGGAAGAAAACGCGTGATGCCGCGGTCAGAAAAAAAGCTGCCCAGGAGCAAAAAAATTTTTTTTCTCAAATGTAAAAACAGATGATAGAATGTGATTCAGGGTGGAATTCCATGTTTAAAAATGTTATTATTTGCTGTTTTAAAAAACCGAGTGTTTTTTCTGCCGGAGGAAGAAAACGCGTGATGCCGCGGTCAGAAAAAAAGCTGCCAAGGAGCAAATTTTTTTTTAACTGAAAAAGTTGGCCACGCCCATCCAGTCACAATTCCCCGCCCACCAAGCCATGCCCACAGAACTGGTAGTAACAAATTTTATATTTCACCCATGGTTTTAACCCTTCAATGCACCTTTTATTGTACAAATACAGCAATTTATTTATTACACTTTACTGCATTTTTAAATTAATACTAACATGCAAATCTACGTTTACTTTTATCGACCATTTACATTTTTATTCCTGTGGGCAGTTGTCGTACGGGCCCCAGTACAGTTGCCTGGGACCCATAATGCTGTTAAGGCAGCCTTGACAGTGGCCTATATTTCTGTGCCCTTGTGTTGAACTGAGTGTAAATGCACAGTAACAATAACACAGTAACACAGTAACCCCAGCCATGGAAATTCTGGTGCTGAAGCTGGAAACTCAACCCCTGGCTCCACGCTTCCAGGAAAACCAATTTGAGCCCCATGACTCAGGAGGAAGATATCCAGCATTTCATCTTTGATTTTTTCCTTTAGGTGTCAAATTTGAAGACTGCCCATCTTGAAAGAGGTCCATCTGGTGGGACCAAGAAGAAGTGCCTTCTCCGTGGTGGCTCCCTCCCTGTGGAAAATCATCCCCGAGGAGATAAGATTGGCCCCGACTTTGACACTCTTTCACGAGTGTCAAAGTCGGGGCCAATCTTATCTCCTCGGGGATGATTTTCCACAGGGAGGGAGCCACCACGGAGAAGGCACTTCTTCTTGGTCCCACCAGATGGACCTCTTTCGGAGAGGGACTTGAAACATCCTAAGTGTCAAGGACCAACACCTTTAAGGCAGCATCTCCAGATTTCATCCTGGGCAACGACAATTAGAGTTTTCTGTTTCTGTTCAATGCTTGGTATTAACATCCTCTGATAAAGGAATGGGCAAGGTTTAGGTCCAAATGTTTAGAAAAGATACTCAGTGTGCAAATACATGGTTTGAGGGACCAACTGGCTGGTGTAAAACAGCTGAGAGGTGGGTTTCAGCAAGTTCTCACCAGTTCTGGACAACCGGTAGTAAAAATTCTGTCTGGCCCCGCCCCATCTATTCTCTGCCCCCCAAACCCCAGCTGATCAGGAGGAAATGGGGATTTTGCAGTAACCTTCCCCTGGAGTGGGGGAGGGAACGGAGATTTTACAGCAGAGGTCTTCAAACTTGGCAGCTTTAAGACTTTTTTTTTTTTAATTTGATTTATATGCCGCCCTTCTCCGGAGACTCAGGGCGGCTTACAATGCGCTAAGGAATAGCCTTCATCCTTTTGTATATTTATACAAAGTCAGCTTATTGCCCCCACAAACTGGGTCCTCATTTCACCTACCTTTGAAAGGATGGAAGGCTGAGTCAACCTTGAGCCTGGCGAGATTCGAACCTGCAGTAATTGCAGGCAGCTGGTCTTAATAACAGGGTGCTTTAGACCACTGTACTACCAAGGCTGGCATAGCTGGTTGGAGAATTCTGGGAGTTGAAGTCCACAAGTCTTAAAGCTGCCAAGTTTGAGGACCCCTGTTTTACAGTATCTTTCCCCTGCCACGCCCACCAAGCCATGCCACACCCACCAAACCACACCCACAGAACCGGTAGTAAAAAAAATGAAACCCACCACTGAAACAGCTGTCTACATTTCTGTGCTTTTGCACTTGTGTTGAACTGAGAGTAAATGCACAGTAACCGCAGCGATGGCTCCCCCAGTCCTGGAAATTGTGGTGCTGAAGCTGGAAACTCAACCCCTGGCTCCACGCTGCCAGGAAAACCAACTTGAGCCGCATGACTCAGGAAGAAGATATGCAGCTTTTCATCTTTGTTTTATCTATGTGTCAAATTTGGAGACAGCCTATCTCCCTCGCAGAGCCACTCTTCATCCTGCACTCAGGTTGCAGAAATCATCTGGCTCTTCCTTTCGCTGTCTCTGTTCGCCGGCGAATGCCTGGGAGTCAGTTTATGTCATCTCCTGTCCAGATTCTAAGCAGATCTATAAAACACATCAGTTGGAATTGGAGGTGTACACAAGGGAGAGTGGGAGGGAATCAAATTAAAGAACGAACGTCAAGCACAGTTTCTCCAGATTGTGTTTCTGGCCTCTGGTTGAGTACAGGTAGTCCTACATTTATAATCATTCATTTAGGAACCGCTTTGCAGTTATAACCACACTGAAAAAAAAGCGACTACAGCTGGCCCTCACTCTTATGACGAGAGTAACAGAACAGAATAACAGAGTTGGAAGGGACCTTGTGGGTCATCTAGTCCAACCCCCCCACACCCAAGCGGAAGACCCTACACCCTTTCTGACAAATGGCAGTCCAGGCTCTACTTGAAAGCCTCCAGTGATGAAGCTCCCACAACTTCCGAAGGCAACTTCTGTTCAATGGGTTGATTGTTCTCCTTGTCAGGAAATTCCTCCTTATTTCCAGGTTGAATCTCTCCTTGGTCAGTTTCCATCCATTATTCCTTGTCAGCCTTCAGGTGCTTTGGAAAATAGCCTGACCCCCTCCTCTCTGTGGGAGCCCCTCAAATATTAGAAGACTGCTGTCATGTCTCCCCTGGTCCTTCTCTTCACTAGACTAGCCAGGCTCAGTTCCTGCAACCGTTCATTGTATATTTTAGTTTCCAGTCCCCTAATCATCCTGGTTGCTCTTCTCTGCCCAATTGCAGAATTCTCTCAGCCATGTGATCAGAATTTGGCCTTCCCAACAAAACTTCCCAAGGAGCCTCGCACACACCCTCCAGACCCTCCAACAGCACGCAAATCCGGGAGTAAACCAGTGGTGGGTTTCAAATTTTTTTACTACCGGTTTGGTGGCTGTGGCAGGGGAAGGATACTGTAAAATCTCCATTCCCCCCCCCCCGATCAGCTGGGACTCAGGAGGCAGAGAATAGCTGGGGGGCAGGGCCAGTCAGAATTTTTACTACCGATTCTCTGAACTACTCAAAAATTCTCCAGAAACTGGTCAGAACCTGCTGAAACCCACCTCTGAAGTAAACACAACCCCGGAACGGGCTAAAACCACAACATAGAGTTAGCGAAAGGCACAATGTGGGGCTGTGAGAGGGATGGCTTGGCTTGGCTTGGCTTGGCTTGGCTTGGCTTGGCTTGGCTTGGCTTGGCTTGGCTTGGCTTGGCTTGGCTTGGCTCGGATCGGCTCGGATCGGCTCAGATTGGATCAGATCGGACTGGCTCAGCTTAGCTTGGATCGGCTTGGCTTGGCTTGGCTTGGCTTGGCTTGGCTTGGCTTAGATTGGCTTGGCTTGGCTTGGCTTGGCTTGGCTTGGCTTGGCTTGGCTTGGCTTGGCTTGGCTTGGCTTGAATTGGATTGGCTCGGCTCGGCTCGGCTCGGCTCGGCTCGGCTCGGCTCGGCTTGGATTGGATTGGATTGGATTGGCTCGGCTTGGATTGGATTGGCTCGGCTTGGCTAGGCTTGGCTCGGCTTGACTCGGCTTGACTCAGCCTCAGCGCAGCTCAGCTCAGCTCGGCTCGGCTTGCTTTCCTCCCCAACCTCTTCTCCCTGCCAACTACATTACTTCCCAGAACGACCTGCTGCTGCTGTTGGCAGAGTAACGGTTCCCATTGACTCTTGCTGATGCCAGGGTTCCTCGAAAGCCCCGCTTCTCCGCCCAAGCTGGAGAAAGAGGCGCGCGGGCGACTGGCAACCAGGCGCACCCGAGTTTGCGCGCGGCGCTCAGCAGCCGCTTCGCCCCTTTTTGGCTGGCAAGGCGAGGGAGCCGCGGGTTCAGCGGAGGGGGCGTGCCCGCTTTTTGCCAAGGACAAATCTGCGCATGCCTCCACCGGGGAGGGGGAGGGAACGGGAGGCTTCCTCTACCCCCCCACCCCCACCCCCACCCCCACCCCACCCCTCCAGTAGGTGGCTCCGGCTCCAACCTCTCCGCGCTCGTCTTTCGCGGCAGCGCCAGGCGTTGGAGGTCGGACTGGAGCAGCGCCGGGCGCGGAGCCCCCTTCCCGCCGCGAGAAAAGCCCAGCCGCCTCCCCTCGGGGAAAGGGGGATCGGGGCTTCGTGCCCATCAGGCGCGGCGGCGGAGCCCCGGAGGAGCCGCCGTTGCCCAATTCAACCCGGAGGCGGAGGGAGTCTCTAAAGGCGGCGCTCTCCGTGGTGCTGAATCTCGCTCCATCTCCGGACGGCCGTGGTTGCGAGCGCCCCTACGGCTGTCTAAAGGGCTCCATCTAATCCCCTCTTCCCTGGGTCGAACCCAGCCTGGCCCTGCCCGGATCGCCCGGCTCTCCAGTTGAGCGCACCCCGCTCCTCCCCAGAAGACCCCCGTCCCCCTCCCCACAGTTCCGTGGGAATCATGGCTGCGTTGACAAAGGTTGCCTTCGCCTCGACCCTGCTGGCGGCGCTTTGGGGTAGGTGCTGGGGAAGGGGTTGGGGGGGGTGAGAGGAAGGGTCTCTCCTTCCTGGAACAATGGGAGCCCTGGTGGAAAGACGGGGCGCGGTGGGGAGGGGGCAAAGTTGGGGGGGAGGGGGATGGATTTGGCAGGGCAAGGCAGGAGGACCCTGCGAGGGAAGAGCGGCGGTTGGGAGGCGCGCTCTGGTGGCTTTGCACCGCTCCTTGGGGGGAACGAGAGAGGCTGCCATGGTGAGAAGCGCGGCTTTCTAATTAAAAGCTGCCTGTTGTTGTTTTGTGGCGGTTTTGCTCAGCTGGAAATCGGGCAGGCAACTCAGGCGCCTGGCGGATTGCTGTGGCAGGTGAAGGCTGTGTAACGGAGGAGTAGCAAGGCAGGGAATCTGAAGGGATCTCGGCTAACCGAGAGAGTTTCGGGCTTTTTCTAAAAGAGCCAACAGCCGTCTCGTTTGAGTTTTAAGCCCTCTCCTTCCAATTCTGGAAGGGTTTTTTTTTTTTTTAATTTGATTTATATGTCGCCCTTCTCCGGAGACTCAAGGCGGCTTGCAATGCGTTAAACAATAGCCTTCATACTTTTGTATATTTATACAAAGTCAGCTTATTGCCCCCACAAACTGGGTCCTCAATTTACCTACCTTAGAAAGGATGGAAGGCTGAGTCAACCTTGAGCCTTGGAGAGATTCGAACTTACAGTAATTGCAGACAGCTGGTGTTAATCACAATGCTATCAGTCTGCTGAGCCACCAGGCTTAGACATCTTGGATGTTTGTTTTTTCTTCCTCCAGGAATTAAGCTTTTTGTGTTTAAAATCCTGTACAAGAGGTGCATTTCTAGACTTCTTCTCAAACAGTTTTACCCAAAAGTATTTTGGTTTGGTTTCGGTTTTTTGTTGGCTTGCCAGCTCACATTGGCCGATGTTAGATCTGGTTTTGCTAAACTTCACAGGGGATGCTAGTCTGTAAAGAAATCGAACCCAACACCCCCACCCCCCCAAAAAAAACCAACCCCATCCTAGCTTGGGTCTGAGTCCATTTCAAGTGACACAAGGGTTCACTTCTAGGAATGGGACCCCCGGGCTAATGACTCTACCCTCCACCCCAATTTTGAGTATGTGCCATCAAGTTGGTGTCAATTCTTAGCAAGCCAGTTTGGTCTAGTGGTGAAGGCACTAGGATACAAATCAGGAGACTGTGAGTTCTAGTCCTGCCTTAGGCATGAAAGCTGGCTGGGTGACTTTGGGTCAAACACCAGGAGATGGTGAGTTCTAGACTTGCCTTAGGCATGAAAGTTGGCTGGGTGACTTTGGGTCAATCACCAGGAGACTGAGAGTTCTAGTCCTGCCTTAGGCATAGCAAGCTGGCTGGGTGACTTTGGGCCAATCACCAGGAGACTGAGAGTTCTAGTCCTGCATTAGGCATAGAAAGCTGGCTGGCTGATTTTGGGCCAATCACCAGGAGAAGGTGAGTTCTAGTCCTGCCTTAGGCATGAAAGTTGGCTGGGTGACTTTGGGTCAATCACCAGGAGAAAGTGAGTTCTAGTCCTGCCTTAGGCATGAAAGTTGGCTGAGTGACTTTGGATCAAACACCAGGAGATGGTGAGTTCTAGTCTTGCCTTAGGCATGAAAGCTGGCTGGGTGACTCTGGGTCAATCACCAGGAGAAGGTGAGTTCTAGTCCTGCCTTAGGCATGAAAGCCACTGGGTGACTGCTTCAGCCTGACTCACAGGGTTGTTGTTGTAGGGAAAGAAAGGAGGAGAAAGGAGATTAGGCATCTTCTCCCCATTGAGTCACTTATTGAGTATTAAGGCAAGATTAAAAATCAAATCAATCAATACTCTCCCTAACACCTGCCCACTTTTAGGTCCTGATCTTCTTCCCTCTCCCCCTCCCCCCCCCATGCTCTTTGCTTCCCCTTCTGGCCCAATCACTCCACCTTTTGAGGCAACAGGGATGGGAAAGGCCATTTGTCTTCCTTTCTGTTTCCAGTCTTGACAGTTTCACTCAGGTTTCTTGAGGATAGGAAAGAGACAGATTCACAGCCCCTCCCCTTTTGTTCTCTTCCTCATCTCCCCTGCCTTCTCCAGCCCGTCTCTTTTCTTTTCAAGCAGCAGCAGCTTGAATGAGATGGCACTCACCGCCTGGAGGGGCCCAACAATAACGGTGGCCCCATTTGAACTCGTTGACCTAAAAATGCTGAGCCACAAACATCACTATCCTGCCCTGTATGCAGGGCCTGCAATAACGAAGCAAAGCATGAAAAGTGACCTCGATTCCACTCCCGGTGAAAGGGACTTTTTAAAAAAAAGCAATTTATTTATTTATTTTATTTAGTTAGTTAGTTTGTCAAGCACGTATGAGAAAACAAGGATAAGTAAGAACATAAACATAGTGTTGTGGCCCATCAGCGGCCTGTGCAGCTAGTAGCTGATTCCGACAGTGAGGAGGCTGGTATGGTGCTGCGCCAGCAGCCTGTGCAGCTGCACTCAAGTCAGACAATGAGGAGGCTGGAGAAGATGTGGTGCCAGAGGCGGGGATTCAGCCAGGGCCTTCAGAACCTCCAGAAGCTCCCTTAAGTGAAGAGGAAGAAGAGGAGGAGCCTGTTCTCGATGCACGGGCGCGCAGAGCTGCCAAAAGGCAGGAGTGGCTCCTCAGGAGGAGGTCTCCTCGAGAGTAAGGCTAATTGGCCACTCCCTTAGCCTATTTAAGGAGGAACGCCGACTGAAGCAATTTGCAGGGAACAGCTTCGTTCACATATCTTCGTGTCTTGTCTTGCTTATCTTATCAGCTTCCTGCAAATTGCTTCTGGGCACTCTGCCAACCACAGTAAGCTTTCAGTATTACTCTTTGAATTCCTGGTGGCTGTTAATGCAGTTAATTAACAGCCATTGTTGTAAAAAAATTGGTTTATTTAGTAAACTAAGGTTTGAACGGACTTATGTGTGCTGCATTCTTTGGGGTCCGTAGCTGGGGCAGAACACGTATAAACATATAAGTATAAACAGGTATAAGTACCCTGTTTCCCTGAAAATAAGACCCAACTGGAAAATAAGTCCTAGCATGATTTTTCAGGACGCTCGTAATATAAGCCCTACCCCCAAAATAAGCCACAGTTAAGACTGTCAGCCAGATGGATGCATTTAGTACCGCATTTCCCAAAAATAAGACCTAACCAGAAAATAAGCCCTAATGCATCTTTTTGGAGCAAAAATTAATATAAGACCCAGTCTTATTTTCTGGGAAACATAGTATATACATAATAAATGAGTATGAATAAATGGGAACAGTAGGACAGGGACGATAGGCAGGCTGGTGTGGTTACCACCCATATCCCTTCTGCGTTCCCATGTCATATTGTCTGCTTAAATGTCACAACCCCAGATCCCTATGAGAGAGCTGCAAAGGTGTCGGGCAACTTTTCTGCTTGAAAAGTGCAGTGATTGGGCGGAAGGAAAAGGAAAAGGAAATGGAGATGTGGGTCTCTATTACTAAAACACAGAGTTGTGTGGATCACTTTGGACATAGAAAAGCCCATTGGGAGACTAAACCTACAAGCCTCTGTAAATCATCATCATTTAACGACCCCATAATCCCTTGCAGGGTGGAGTCTGGGCAACTGAATGGAGCTGAGTGTTTACTGGCCGGAGGCCTTTCCTGTCGCCAATGAGGAGTTTTGTTCAGCAGATATAATTCTCATTGTGCCCAGAGAGAGAAATATCTGCCTCTACCTAGGATCGAACTCACAGCCGCCTGATTGTCCACCTCTAGGCCGCCACACCACTCTTACAGGCCTCTGTAAATGTTTGTCCTCCATCTGTGGAAAGACACTGTTCTGCCAAAATCTGGAAGCTCTTGAACTTGAGGTTTAATCGAGTTTAGCATTGTTCATATGACCAGCCCTAAGCAACTTTTTTTTCTGATCTGTCTGTCTTGGATTTCATCTTACACAATCATTAGCCAACATGCTAACTAGGTTGCTGGAATTTAACACATATGAATGAAGAGACACATTGGGGGAAGGTGATAATTCAGCCCCTTTTCTAAACTGACAAAGTTATTTTGAATGTTGTTTTTATCTTCTAGAATTTATTAGGTGTTCCACCAAGGTTTGTACTGTCCGTGGGTGTGATAAGTTTTTTTTTTGCTTTAATGTATATGCCGCCCTTCTCCGGACACTCAGGGCGCCTACAATGTGCTCAGCAATAGCCTTCATACTTTTGTATATTTATACAAAGTCAGCTTATTGCCCTCACAAACTGGGTCCTCATTTAGCCTACCTTAGAAAGGATGGAAGGCTGAGTCAACCTTGAGCCTGGTGAGATTTGAACTTGCAGTAATTGCAAGCAGCAGATATTAATAACAGTGCTTTAGTCCACTGTACTACAGGCTTTCCTTCTTTAGCAAAGTTTTGAATGAAACATAGAAGGGTATGAGGCTCAAAGTTGAAGCTTGATGTGCCTTTTTCCAGGTCTGATGAGGAATCATTGATGAGCTGTCTCTTGAGCTGGGATGAGTTGCACTGATGACATTGCCTACTTGGTGTCGTGACCTAGGCCCAAGCAGTTATTACCAGACACAATCAGTCCTAAACAAACATATTTTAAGAAAAACATATTGAGCAGCATGTAATTTCCTCTGTCTTGTGCATTGATCTTCCTTTTTCTTTCTTTTCTGACTTGGCGACGGTTGGGTCTCTCCTGGCCGCACATCTTCTCCACCTTCAAACTGGGCTGCATCGTCTCCTTCATTATCCAGTGGGCATCTGTTTCTCCGTTTGCGTCGAGGTCCCTTCGGAAACCGAGGCCGTGCAGGGATCACGCATGAAGCTCATGTGCATTTCCTGTATGAAGCGAGAAGAAGTTTTGGCGAACACCGTGGTGAAGTGGTTCTACAAACCCGAAGGAGGACAAGACGTAGCTGTGAGTGATTACTTCTGTACCTTGAATGCTTGGACCATGGGAAATGGGGGGGGGGAATGGGAACAGGGCAGGGGTGAAATGCTCTGAATTCTGCTACTGGTTCACTTTGCTACCGGTACTTGGTGTGGTATGTGCCAAACACGCACTTCACACACGCATGCACTGTGCATGTCAAACACGTACTTTGGATGCGCATGAACAGTGCGTGCCAAACACACGCTTCGTGCACATGCACAGCCACTACCACGCAGCGCTGAAAAAGGAGGTTTAAGAAGCCTTTCGTAAGGTAAGTAGAACAGCGAAGGTGGGGGAACAGCTGCGCCGAATATTTAGATTTGCTAGAAAGCAGAATTTCTTGCTTTCTAACGAATATAAATTGCACGGCACAGCTGATCGTCAGAAATACCGGTTCGTCCGAATTGGTAGCATTTTTTTTACTACTGGTTCTCCCGAACCGGTAGTAATAAAAGCTACCGGTTCGGGCAAACTGGTCCGAACTGTTAGCATTTCATCCCTGGAACAGGGTCTCAGAAAGTTTGCAGATTTCAGCTAAACATTAGGAGAACTTTCCAGATTGTAGGAGGATGAATTGGAGAGGAGATCTGATTTATAATACTTTTTTAAATTTTGTTTTTAAATTCATAAACATTTTGAATACAGTGTATTGCCAGGGTATCTCATTTACAAAAGAAAAACAAAGAAAAGACAATAAAAAATATTAACACATATACTGGTAACAATAGTAATAATGTAACAGAACAGTTTTGGCTAAATTTCTTTTTATATTAGCTTATTTATAATTCTGTTGAGTGTATTGGCATATTTATAGTTATAAACCATCTTTATATTTAATTCATACATAGCAAGAATCTTTCTTCATCTAATTTCTACCTCTTATCTCTAACCACTCATAAAATGTATTCCATATCAAGTAATATTATGTGTCTTCTTCATCTTTAATTTTTAAAGTCAGTCTGTCCATCTCAGCACAGTCTAACATTTTCCGAATTACATCTGGTGGAGTATTCTCATTTTTCCAGTATTTTGCAAATACAATCCTTGCTGCTGTCGGTACATGCAAAACTAAATATGGAGTCCAGTGGTGGGTTTCAAATTTTTTTACTACCAGTTCTGTGGGTGTGGCTTGGTGGGCGTGGCATGGCTTGGTGGGCATGGCATGGCTTGGTGGGCGTAATTTGATGGGCATGGTAGGGAAAGGATACTGCAAAATCCCCATTTCATCCCAATCAGCTGGGACTTGGGAGGCAGAGGATAGATGGGGGGCAGGGCCAGTCAGAAATTTTACTATCGGTTCTCCGAACTATTCAAAATATATGCTACAGGTTCTCCAGAATTGATCAGAACCTGCTGAAACCCACCTCTGATGTAGTCCCTTTATCATAACCCTCCAGCATTATACCCAACAGAAACTCCCTTAAGGAGTTGGGCAGCATAGAAATGCAATAAATAAATAAATAAATAAATAAATAAATAAATAAATAAATAAATAAATAAATAAATAAATAAATAAATAAATACTTCTGGTTTCAGGTCTATACGTTGCTTAATCATCTTTTCCAACCAGATATGTATTTTCTTCCAATATTTTCTTGCTTTCATACAAGTCCACCACATGTGATAGTAAGTTCCTAGGGTCTGATTGCATTTCCAGCATCTGTCAGACAACCAATAATAATTATTTAAGCAATCACTTCAGAATAAGAGAAAGAGAATATTAGATGTCATCAAAGATAAATAGCTGCTTTGGGAAGCTAGCCTGTATTTCTCTACTCTGTTTTGGCAAATGGTTGCAGATCTCCCAATCCCTTTATTCCTTTAACTAATCCTGTCACAACTAATACTTGGTTGATCCAAAAAAAAAAAAAAAGAACAAAAACAGTGGACTCTGCAATTATGTGAAAATGCTTGGGGGAAAAAATGCAGATCTTTCAACATTAAAATCCTATCGGACAGTTATGTCACACCCAAAGCCTAGGAAAAAAATATTTTCATGAATATACAGAGGTGGTGAGCCCTGTTTTCTGGAAGCTTTAGGATTTCCTGGGTCCAGAGACCATATGAGATTGACCACTGCTGAGGGGAGCTGCCCTTAATAATTTAATTTCCCAGTTAAGATCTGAGAAAGCTGCTGGAAATGGTTTAATCTCAGTAGAGCTGATAAAAAAAAAATTAATGGGCTAATCTGAGGCTCACCGTTCACATATTTTAAGTAAATCCCTAGGGATTGTGGGTTCTATTTATCCTCCTCTTTTTTTAGAAACAGCAAAGGATGACCTAGAAAATTATTGGCCAATAAGCACAATCGGTAATCTTTTGACTAAGCACTTATACAGTAACTGTAAATTCAGGGATTGCTGGAATATGATGCAGATGTTTCAGGCAAGGAACAGATATGGGAAAGTCAATCTACCAGTTTGCCCGAGCCGGATAGAACCGGCTGAATTTCACCACTGAGTCAAGCTATTCTCCAAAGCACTTGAGGGCAGGACAAGAAACAATGATTGGAAACTAATCAAAGAGAGAAGCAACCTAGAACTAAGGAGAAACTTCCTAACAGTGAGGACAATTAACCAGTGGAACAGCTGGCCACCAGAAATCATGGGCGCTCCATCACTGGAGGTTTTTAAGAAGAGGCTGGACAGCTGCTTGCCTTTTAACACTGATCAGCTGTATGGCGGCCCTTTGAAGCCCCGCGGCAAGAGTTTAAACAGTTTTTTTTCCTTCTAGCCAATCAGCTGGGACTCGGGAGGCAGCAATAGATTGGGGGTGGGGCCAAATAAAAGGTAAGAATAATGGGGGGTGGGGCGGGAGGGCCCAGCTCCCGAGCAAAGAGAACTGGTTCAGTGACATCATATCATTACCGCTACCGGCTCGGCCGAACCGGGAGGAACCCACCACTGCTAAGCGCTATTGCTAAAGTTGACATCTCCTTTTTTTTCTGGACCTTTACAGATCTACGAATTCAACAATGAGAAACGGGAACTTGAGAGTCCTTTTCAGGGCCGGCTCGAGTGGAACGGGAGTGCAGATATGCAGGACGTCTCCATCTCGGTCCTAAACATTTCTCTGAACGATTCAGGGATTTACACCTGTAATGTCACCCGGGAATTCCTCTTTGAGACCCACCGGCCCATCTTCACCAGCTCGACACTGATTCATCTCACGGTGTTGAAGGATGGTAGGATAACACAAGGGGTTGGTCCAGTGGTGAAATCTAAAATTTGTTACCACCAGTTCTGTGGGTGTGGCTTGGTTGGGGGGGGGTAATGTGACTGGGTGGGTGTGGCCAATTTCGGAGAAGAGGTTGTAAAAAAATGCTTTCAAAAGGCTCTGACGATCCCAGCTGAGTTGCCTGATCGGCAGAGACTTTTTTTCTTTTAAATGCCTCTGACGATCCCAGCTGAGTTGCCTGATCAGCAGAGGCTTGTTTTCTTTTAAATGCCTCTGACGATCCCAGCTGAGTTACCTGATCAGCAGAGGCTTGTTTTCTTTTAAATGCCTCTGACGATCCCAGCTGAGTTACCTGATCAGCAGAGGCTTGTTTTCTTTTAAATGCCTCTGACGATCCCAGCTGAGTTGCCTGATCAGCAGAGGCTTGTTTTCTTTTAAATGCCTCTGACGATCCCAGCTGAGTTACCTGATCAGCAGAGGCTTTTTTTCTTTTAAATGCCTCTGACGATCCCAGCTGAGTTGCCTGATCAGCAGAGGCTTTTTTTCTTTTAAATGCCTCTGACGATCCCAGCTGAGTTGCCTGATCAGCAGAGGCTTTTTTTCTTTTAAATGCCTCTGACGATCCCAGCTGAGTTGCCTGATCAGCAGAGGCTTGTTTTCTTTTAAATGCCTCTGACGATCCCAGCTGAGTTGCCTGATCAGCAGAGGCTTGTTTTCTTTTAAATGCCTCTGACGATCCCAGCTGAGTTACCTGATCAGCAGAGGCTTGTTTTCTTTTAAATGCCTCTGACGATCCCAGCTGAGTTGCCTAATCAGCAGAGGCTTGTTTTCTTTTAAATGCCTCTGACGATCCCAGCTGAGTTACCTGATCAGCAGAGGCTTTTTTTCTTTTAAATGCCTCTGACGATCCCAGCTGAGTTGCCTGATCAGCAGAGGCTTGTTTTCTTTTAAATGCCTCTGACGATCCCAGCTGAGTTGCCTGATCAGCAGAGGCTTGTTTTCTTTTAAATGCCTCTGACGATCCCAGCTGAGTTACCTGATCAGCAGAGGCTTTTTTTCTTTTAAATGCCTCTGATGATCCCAACTGAGCCACGCGATCATCAGAGGCTTTTTTTTTTACTTTTAAAAGCATTTTTTCGGCCAAGTTGTAGAAAAAATGCTTTTAAAAGTAAAAAAAAAAAGCCTCTGATGATTGTGCAGCTCAGCTGGGCAATGGGGGAGAGCAGTGATTTTTCCTACCGGTTCTCCGAACCACCCGCCTCCATCACTACTGGATCAGGCGATCCGGTCTGAACCGGGAGCATTTCACCCCTGGGTTGGCCATTGCTCAAGCAATGTTTACATTAACAGTCTCAGATCTGCTGAGATTAAACCTTTTCCAGCAGCTTTCTCAGCTCTTAACAGGGAAGTTAAATTATTAACAGTGGCCAAGGTTTATTTTGCAAATACGGGGTTACAAACAAAGGGGTAATGGAGGGTACATTA